AGAATGACAAAAAAAGCACAGAAAGTAATTGTTAAAGCAAAATTACAGAACCTAGTATATAGCCATTTTATTTTAATTTTTATTTCCATTTAACTAACTCCCCTATCTATATTAATATTTGAAAGTAAAGCCCGCGGACTCCCCTGAAGCCCGTGCCACCATCCATGCATAACATAAAATCAATCAAGTCAAAAACTTCTCATCCCCATCACCACAGACAAACACTCAAAATCTCACTTACAAAAGTCACCAATCTTTTTCCACCTCTTTCCCATAGATTACAACAAATCAGATACTAAAACCTCCATATTAGTTTTCACCTTTATCAACCATGGACTCATCATGGGCCTGATCAACGGGCCCAACAGCCCGACAGTTCTCCTTCAAACCAGAAGCTCTTGCTCTCCGTTTACGGTGATCTCCCATCAAATATCCACCCTCCACAGCCTCAATCACCCTTTTTGTAAGGGCCCGAGTCCTCTTGCTCAGCCTCAAAGGATTCGAGTTCAACCCTTGGACCTCATTTCCCTCAACCAGCACACCACCTTTTTCGGGCCCATTTGACTGGGCCCCATCTTGCCTCATGCTCGGCCCACCATTCTCAATTGCCTGGCCCACATTAGCCCTGTCTTGCTTTACTTCCAACTCAGCATTCTCTGCCTCCTGGGCTTCCTGTGGTAAATTAAGATCAAACTTGGGCCGAGCATTCTCAGACGAGCTGACAGCTGGCAGCATCCGGCACCGTTTGACAATCGGGCCCTCATGGCCCGAACCAGCCCGTTTTGCCTTTTGAGATCTCGGGATTTTTTTAGTCTGACTTTCTACCTTCTTGCCTTTCAGGTAGGGTAATGATGCAGTTTTCTTGTCAGGTTTACTCTCATCCTCTGCCTCCTCATCATCTCGTTCGACAAATGAATCCGAAATTTCGGGAGGAAAAGGCCTCAATTCACGAATATTCCCATCCGAGAGGCTCGTATCAATCACCGTGAATTTCATTATTCCATTTTCTCTCTTCGGAGTCCTCGGCTGTAAATAACAGATTTTTTCCAACTTTTTCTCTGATATTTTTTCAGCAGGAGCTTCCATCTTTATTATCTCTTCACTAGGGCCTGCTCTCTCTGAGTCGAGCACGATTAAATCCGGCTGCTTGGAGACTAAAGCCAGTATATCCGTGGGCGAGTCGAAATAGTGCTCTCCCTTCACCAGCTTCCTTCGAGAGAACTTTTTTATTCCGGGCCCGAGGTAAACCAAATAGGGCCGGGAAAAGCCCGTTTGTTTTCTAGGTACCACTGTTTGCCAGCCTCGTCCAAGCAATCGGGGCCAAACAGCCTCCCAGAATATGTCGTTCGATTTTGCCTTGCTTAGCCGGTAATCTCCAGTCAAGATTTTGATGACCTCGTCTGTTGTGAGTGAGGAGAATGCTCGACCGGCTGGAAATGAAGGTCTGGAAGGTTCTAGAGGTATTTCGGTCAGGTCGAGTTTTCCTTTGCCTATGCCGATAGAATCCACAAGATTCTTAACTCCGAACGTGATCTTAAGATAGAACACGTATTCCTCGAGTGAAATTTTCTCGTCCTCAAACGATTTAGACATCTAAAACGGAGTAAATCGAAATTTAGCAAAATTATGTACGAAATTGAGAGATGGTAGTAAAGAATACCTTGTTAAGAGAAGATATATAGACAAATACCAGATTTGAGATGAACTTAACAAAAGTTTACAAGTTAGCACTCAATGACAAGTCAATAGTCATCATTTTTTTTTTTTCCTACAGTCGAGTCAATTAAAGAAAGAGACTTTCTTTTCCATAAGATTTTCACCATTTTCTTCAGCCAATAGAAAACACAAAAGCAATGAGTTCCCAAAGGCTTGTTTTGTGTGCATCAAAATGTAAACTTTGAAATGATATCTTTTTTAAATCAAAAATTAGGTAACATACCACACAAAATGAAAAGAAAAAAAAATAAAAAGACTGAACTAGATTGGGTTTTACACTCGCTGTAAAGCCTAGATGAAGAGGTAGATATGTAAGTTTTTATTATAAATAAAGTATTAAATATTTACATATATAGTATAAAAAAGAAACAAAATTTCAGCAAATGTTAGGCAAAAGTAAATAACGACTACCCATTACCTCCAACACAGCACTTCGAGATTCTTCTGGAATGCCAGGAAGTATTCTATTCAGTAGTTCCTGCTGTCTCATCCCAGAAAATATCCTCTCACCGTAAATCCCCTTCTTACCCTTCGCCTTTCGGCAATCTGACCATCTTTGGTACTCATGTGAACCGTAAAATCTCCCATAGTAGAAAGAAAGTACATCACCCATCTCTTTTGTCTCGACAAAGCGTCTAACATTAACGAAATTCTTCTCGAAAATGTATAATCCCAAAAGGAAGCTTTCCTTCTCCAATGCATTCCAACACGCTTCCGCTAATCCAGGGACCAAAAGATAACCTTGACTACCAAACTTGCTTATTTTCTCTGCAGTTGGTAAATCGTTCAGTTCCTCTGGAGATTCTGCCTTAATAACTTTATTGTGGATATTCGAACCAGATTTTGAGCCCGATGAAATTTTGAAAGTACTGATCCACATCACAAGTATGGGGAGCCCAACGAAATTTTTTTGGTAGGAAATAGGTTCATTTTCTGATTTTGTGCATTTTGTTGAGTGTGATTGAACGAGTGATGGAACTATGGCTTGATATTCGTCTCCAGTCCTGGGTGAAATCTCAGGTTCACCAAATGCAAAGGCTGCTTTATGGATATCTGATGGAATCTCTGCATCTCTAAAGTTATCACAATCAGGTGGAAAGGAATTAGAGCAATCCCCATTTTCACCAAAATGAATAGAAGCCATCTGCAAAAGAAGTAGACACACTTTTGGTTAAAAACACAAACTGATACAAGCATAAGAACCAAATGTCTAAAATGAGATTATACATGAAACTAGCTTCTATACATAAATAAAAAGTGACTGTTTTTCAACAAGGTCTTCTGGTATACATGATAACTGCTGAATTTAAAGCACGTGAAGTTTAAGCAATTGTGAAAATCCAAAAGAAGGGAGGATTCATTAATAAACAGAGAGAAAAAAGTTCAAGAATATTTGTTGTACTTCCAATCCTTTCCATGTACGACAGTTTAAAACGTGAAATAGCACAAGATATTTGATGAGTAAACTCCAGTAATATTAAATCTAGAGTGTACTTAATCACTGGATGAAACAATTCTCATTTTCATTTCATCAAATTATAGAGAAAAGCTGAAAATCTGGATGATGAATAAAATCAAGTCCATGTGAAATTAAGTAAAGATGATTTAAGTGGTTTTGTTTGTATTATGTCTAACTATTCAAGCAAATTCGAAAGTATGAGAATAAAATAAAGGATTTAGACCAATGTAGAGTAAACTCAAACAAGCCTCTAAAACCGATGTAAGATTACATATATCCACATCACATCATGCCATGGGTTACCCGGCTCCGAAGTCTAAGACTACAAAACGAAAATGTAGGAACATGAAGTTGGAAACACATCTAGCCAAAGCAATCAAGAAACTTCACTTATAAACCTCAACACAAAAAGTGCAACCAGCATAAAAAAATTAACATCAAACCACCGAGCAGTATTTATATTATATTACAGATCCACATTTCTACAACTTGAAACACATTTTCGACAAAAAAGATGGAACCTTTATTGCAACAAACACATAGCACTGCCAAAATCAAGTGCATTAATCTCACACCAGAAACCCATCTCTATTTCCAATTCACAATTGAAAGAACATCAATAACTTCCAATAAAGCAAATTACGTTTTTATGGGCAAGTTCTAACAAAACCAGAAAAAGAAAATATACAATAGCAAAAAATCACGCAGAAAATAAAGAAATAAATGAATAAAATAAAAAAAATCTCCAACCCCAACTCCAATGAAAATTCCAATGTGATCACACCAAATTAAACTCCTTTCACATTCTACAACTCATGTATTCCCGTAAACAGAACATTTTAACATAACCAAATAATACGCAGACCCAAACGAACATACCAAAGCCATAAACAAGCATACTTATGCATGTATATACACGAAAAACAACTTGAAGGGCACGTGTGGAGTGAAGCTGGGCAAATGGGTTTAGATGTGGAGCAATAAAACCGTGAAATACAACACAAATATGCCGAAAGCAGTACATAAATACAGCATATATAGCCAATAAATACAAAAACAGTTTATACAGCCATGACTGTGCATACAAGAGCTCGTATGTATGTATATAGGAAGAAGGGTAAGAGAGAGGACCTGGGTTTTCTCCTGTTAGAGCAGAGTTTTCATGTGGTGAATTGAATCGAAGAGAGAGAGAGAGAAGACTATTTTTTTCTTTTTCTTGTATTGAGAAAAATTGGTTTAGTATTTGGCATTTTATATTGATGAGTTACAGAGAGAAAATAAAAGAAAGGAAAAAAAAAAGGGCAGCATTTTAAAGTATGGAGAGATGAGGAGAAGCACATGCACTTTAAAGAGAGTTGCTATCACGCGCTATGCACTTTTGCTACCACTCAACACGCGTGTACAAAGTTTGCGTCTCTACTCACGTGGAGGAGGTTGTTTTATTCATATTTGCTGAAATAATATTTCATCCCCAACAAAATTTATGGTGAGGAAGATAATATTATTCTATATATAGGAAAACATATCATTGTATATTAATTAATAAAATCTATAACAGTTTATTTTAGAAATTGTAATAATAATTTAAAGTTATCCGCATTCAAATCGAGTAATACGTAANAGTTTCTTTATTTTAACGATATATTTCATTAATAAGGACATATATTTAAAAGCCACTAAAGCTTAGTCAAAAAAAAAATATATATTTTATATATTTATTAACATATTTTTATATGTTTAATGTTGTCGAACTTATATTTTTTCGACTTATTTATTTATTAGATAGATTCAAGTGTTGTGATATATTTATGGTTTATTTTCAAGATATTGAAGTAATTATATGGACAATGATACGTTGAACACAAACGTGAAAAAAAGTTGGGGTATTGGGTACTTAAATACCAACCTATTTACAGATATGCGTATACATCTGTATCTATATAAAGAGAATAAACATTTACTAAAAATAATTGTAAAAAAAATCTGGAAACATTTAATACATATCTTCTTTGAAAAGTTTTTGACTATGTTTGGTAAGCCAAATAAGTTGGCTTATAAGCTCTCTGTATTCAAATAAGCCTCGTTTGGTAGGACGAGTTTTTAAAAAACTCAAGCTTATCTCATAAGCTACTTTACGTAGCTTTTCAAATAAGATAGTTGAATATTTTTATTTCAGCTAGTTTATCAGCTAATTTTACCAAACACTTTTACATATAAGCTAGCTTTTCAGCTATAAATCATAAGCTATAAGCTATAAGCTCAAAAATTACATATAAGCTATAAGCTAGCTTATCAGCTAGTTTTACCAAACATAGCCTTTAAATATATGCATTAATTGCTTGCATATACACACTTTCACATCAAATCAAATCAGATATGATCAAAAAGATTCCTTCCTTGAATAATTTTATTAACATCTGCAATAATTTTATTGATATTTATTATAATAAACTAAAAATTTGATTTTTCGTTATTCATGTTGATAATATTTTGGTTGAGATAGACATGAAAAACATATTTTAAGTTCTAGATGATATAGGATACCAGACCCTAGTCGTACAAACCCAATAAACCGGTCGACCAAGCCAAGTGAACAGACTAGTCGAATAGAGCAGCAGAAAGGCCGACGGAGGTCGAACACCACCAACGGAGGACCAGGAGTCTTCAAATTGAAGACAGTGCAAGGGGTACAGGGAGACAATGACAGGCAGAGCTAGGGCCCTCAGATGACCTGTTGGAAACTCAACATGTAGGTATGGTTGATCGTACGATCGACCAGAACGGACAACAATTGGTCTCAGAATATGCAACGATATACCTCAGCAGTAGGGTGAGCATGGGTCGGTACGGTTCAGAGATTGACAAATCTCCAGAACCGTACCGAAATCCGGAGATCACTAAAATTCAATCTCTGGAACCGTACCAAAAATCGGCGCTGTTCGGTTAAGATATTTTTATTGTTCGGTTCGGTTCGGTTCGATTCAGTTCTTGGGACTATCGGAACGATTTGGTTCGGTTCGGATATTCGAAGATTTTTTAGTATTTATTTTACATTTTGAGTGACCACCTAATTATATTTTAATTTTTATACGTTTTTTTTTTTAAATCCAACATTTATCAATACTTTATCATACTAAAATTTTTATTTTTAAATTAATTTTAGAAGTAATTCTAAATTTTCATTAAGAAATTTGTGCAGCTAACAATGAAAATTTAAAATTCAAACAACATATAATATAGTTTTTCATTAAAGTAATATTTATTTAACCTTTCATACTATGTTAGCTATAAGATATAAGACTAAATATCGAAAAATTTAAGTAAAGTGTAATACCATTTTTTTAAATATTTATTTAATCTTTCATCCCATTTTAAATAGTTTTTTCAAACCAGGAAAAATTCAATTGTAGATCAAGTGTTACTAACCATGAAATTTAAATGAAACTTAATTGTTATAACTATATTTTATTTGCATTTTAAAATTCTAAAACTATATAGAACCAAAGTTGACATAAAATATATTAATAACACACATCCATTTTTATAAACTGTGCACAACTCCCCTTCATAAACAAATTCATATTCATGTTACTTTGAACAACATTATGGTTGATCCTTTTAAAGTTACGTAGGCAGTTTAGATATTTTTTAAGTTTATTCAGGAGTTAAGTTTTTCACTTAAGCTGACGACCTTAAGTGTTGAGCCACAATGAAATGCAACAAGCTTCAAATTGCAATTAATTCGGATTCTACTGGAATGGCGAGATTGACATGTTCATCGTGACTTTCATACTTGTTGTCCCAAAAATGCTCGTACTAATCAAAGTTGAAATTGCAAATCAAACAGGAAGCACGAGATGAGTTGGTCTGAGCAAGAGTGTATCTGCATGCCTTCCTATTTTTCTGATTGATACGTAGAGAAGATTGGTTGGACTTGGTGGCCATCTAGAAGGAAGGTCATATCAAAGGTTGATGGGTTTGGTTAACTTCAACTCGTGAACCTCATTGGTACGACAACCTTTGATTTCTTTATTGGCATCTTCAGCAACCTCCGGTATAAACATCGTTGCCACAACTATCTTCAGCCTTTTTGGTATCTCGTCCAACCTTGACGTGGTCCTCTTCAGCTACTCCAATGTTAACATAGTCATCTTCGTCCCTTGAGCATCCATCTTCGACCTCCGCAGTAGATTGTCCAATTATCGTGTCTCCATCTTAAGCCTTTCCACTCGCTCGTCTTGGCATGGTCATCTTCGACACATGAACCTGCGGCACAAACACCGTGGCCACGGTCATCTTTGACATTTCCGGTGAGATGCGCCTTCCTAAGTCGATGTCGTGCGGCAAAGTTGAATCTTCCGTGCAGCTTAGCCGGTGAGATGAGTTGATGCTGTGCGGCAAGGTTGATTCTTCCATGCAGCTTCTCCCATTTCAGCCTCAGACAGCTCCCGAACACCTTCTGTTCAGCCCGACAGCTCCCGAGTAGCTCCGTTTCAGCCAGAGGACAGCCGAACTGATCAGTGATCATGTATCATTGTTTCAGCCTGCCTGAACAGCTCCAAGCAACTCCGTTTAAGCCCGGACAACCATACGAGCATTCCGAACGAGTGCTGCAGCTCAGACATAACAGGAAAAGAAGAATAAACGAAAAGATATTGGAAGATGAATTTGCTAATACCTTTTAGGCAATTGATCAAACGCTTGGAGGGCTGAAAACTTGGGAGATGGATGTATACCAACTCTTTAATGTAGCCCGCTAGAAAAGTCTGCATATCAAGCAACAATATCAACATCACCTCCTAAACATCCCCATATAACAACAAATAAATAAAAAAATAAAAAAAAAGAGGGAAAACGAGAAAGAAGTAGGGTGAGAGCAGGCCTGTTTCTCGTAAATTACGTGATGAACAATGTACAAGGCCTCTCTTTTATAGGTTAGAACCCCTGTTGAGTTTAGGAAAATTCCACGATACATAATCAGTATCTATATATATATATATATAATAGGAATATTCATTTACCAAAAATAGTAGAAAAAAAATAGGTCAAAATTTGATGCAGTCTATGAATAATAAGTTTTATTTTATTTTTTTAGTTTTTCTTTAAAAATCATGCAACATTAAATGCTACCTTAAATTCGGACTTTATTTTATTTTATTATTTAAAAATCCAGCTAAGATCTATTAAGTGTGCATGCTTTTGTTTTTATTTTTTTCTTAAAAGTAACGAACAACATTAAAATCTCGGTCTCTATATTTATAAATCTCAATTCAAAATATAAAAACAAAATTAGAATCTCGGTCTCTATATTTGTGCCTTTACAAAAATATTGAATGCTAAAATTATTCTATAAATTGCATAATCAATCATTAATCTTATTTTTTTTTGAAAATTACTATGTTTATTGTTTATTAACTAGTGTGTGGCCCGTGCGATGCACGGGAAAACAATATTACGATTGTATTATAAATTAAATATATAAATAACATTAATCATGATTTATCTATTATTTTTAAATTAAACCGGGTTGGACACAGTCCGACCGGATGGATCGAGAATAGGTTGATAACCAGTCTAGTTCGCTTGAATATTACTATCGAATCCGTCAACACCAGTCGGTTGGACTGGTAGGATCGATACGATTTTCTAAATAAATTTTGTTACATTTAAAATTATTTAAAAAAAATACAAATTGAAATAAAATAGAGATTTATGGAAAAGCAAATAGGTTGCTTTCAACCAAATCAAAGAATGAAGTCGGTAGTACTGAACTTTTTTTTTTTTACCGTACAAACGAAACAAAGCGAAGTTAAGTCAAAAACCGCTCCGTGGGGTCAATTGCATCGTTTGAATTTATAAATTGTTTAGATATTTAAGTAACACACTTTATTTAAATTTATTACAAAAAGTACTATATATGTCTATTAAAATGTTTATAAATTAAAATCTGAACAAACCACAAATGATTTAGTAAAATAACTTGATCGTTTCGATGACGTCCGGTTCTGAAAACCTTATATTTACTATACATTAATAAACATTATAATAAAATATTATTTAATTCACATAAATATTAATAAAATGATATACAAATATCATAAATCATTAAACATGTTGTCATATAAGTATTGTTAATACGATTATTTGAAGTTTGGACTACATCACATTCACGTAATAAATTTTTTCAATATTAAAATTTATATTTAGGTTCAATAATCGATTTGGTCTTGTCAACTGATACATAGCTCAGTCACCTGCGACCAATCAAGTTGTGTAAAGTTTTTTTACTATTTTAAATATCACTTAAAAGTAATTCAATCAACCTGAGCAGTATCCTAATTCAATCACTCGATTGATCCAAAAAATTTCCTTATTTTCTTTTAATATATTTAATTTTATGAAATAAATATATTTTATGATTATATAATAAATGACTACACCAAATGATAGTATATTAAGATAATAAATTATATTTCTAAAAATGAATTAATTATTTTTACTTTATACATCACATAGTAATTTTCAAAAAATTGAGCTTAATAGATTAATTATGCAATTTAAAGAATATTTTTAGCATTCACTATTCTTTTTACAGGCAAAAATATAAAGACCGAGATTCTAAAAATTTTATTATATTTTGAATTAAGATTTGAGACTTTGTAAGGTTTTCAGATTTGAATGAGTACTATGAAATCTAAAGTTCGGAAGTAGGATTTGAAGTGAGATTTCGTTTAAGGTTTTCTCGTTTAGAAATCTCACCAAATATTGAAAAGTCTTAGCAAATCCTAGTGTCAAATAAATTAAACACCTCAGGATTTTATAAGACTTTTAAAAATCCCAATTGAATACCCCACGATTTTTAAAAGTTTTAACAAATCTAAATTGAATACACCAGGATTTCTAAAGTCTTAAAAAGTCCTTAGAAATCCTAACTGATTACACCCTATAGATCTTAGCCGGATTTTTTAAATAATAAAATAAATAAAGCCTGAAATTTAAGATCGCATTTAATGTTGTATGATTTTTAAAGAAAAAAATAAGAAAAATAATAAAACTTACTATTTAGAGGCTGCATTAAATTCTTACCTGTTTTTTTACTACTATTTTTGGTAAATGGTTATTCTTATTATATAAATATAGATATAGATATGCATAAAGTAAAAATAATTAATTTATCTTTAGATATAAAATTTATAATCTTATTATACTATCATTTGGTGTAGACATTTATTATATGAATCATAAATGTTTTAATTTCAGACAATTAAATATATTTAAAGAAAATAAAAAAAAATGAATCAATTGGATGATTGAATTAGGGTACTGCCCAGGTTAATTGAATTAATTTTAGGTGATATTTAAAGTAGTCAAAAAACTTGACACAACTTGGTTGGTCCAGGTTAATATTGAAAATACTTTATTACGTGAATGTGATGTAGTCCAAACTTCAAATAATCGTATTACCAATACTTTTATGACAACATGTTTAATGATTTATGAATATTTATATATTATTTTATGAATATTTATTGTGAATTAAATAATATTTTATTATATTATTTATGAATGTAGAGTAAACATAAGGTTTTCAGAATTGGACCGTCATCGAAACGGTTAAATTATTTTATTAAATCATTTGTGGTTTGTTCATATTTTAATTTGAAAACATTTTAATATATATATATATATATATATAGTATTTTTGTTATAAATTTAAATAAAATGTGTTACTTAAATATCTAAACACTTTATAAATTTAAATGTTTAAACTAATTGATAAATAATTTATAAATCTCTATTTTATTTAAATATATAATTTTATTTAAAATAAAATTAAATGTAACAAAATTTATTTAGAAAATCGTATCGATCCTGCCAGTCTAACCGACTGGTGTTGACGGATTCGATAATAAATATTTTATTCAAACGAACTAGACTGGTTATAAACTGGTTCTCGGTCCATCCGATCGAACTGTGTTCAACTCGGTTTAATTTAAAAACAATGGATAAATTATGATTAATGTTATTTGTATATTTAATTTATAATACAATCATAATATTGTTTTTCCATACATCGCACGAGCTACGCAATAATTAGAAAATGTGCTGTGTAAATTTGCACGTTTCGTTATCACTTAAAAGGATCGTAATGTTCATTGGAATGTCCTTTATTTTCAAGCAGTATAATTGGCTAGAAAAGGATCTGTTGCCTTTGTCCAAAGATTTGTCCAAATATCTCCTAATCTCTGCCTTGCCCGACATTTAATTAAATGGGCTGATGAAAGTGGAAAGTTTTTTTTTTTTCCTCATGGGCTTTGTCTACTAGATCTGAGATGAGATTGGGCAATCTCCTAATCTCTTTAATTATCTCGAAAATGGGCTTTAAATTTGATCTTAAGATTTTAAAGATACACGAGATATTTTAGTGGGCCATGTGATATTGGAGGCCCAATTCATATTCAAGGCATCAAGTTTTCTCTCGCAATGTCAATATACCACATTGCTTGAACGAGTCCAATTGTCAAACCATATTTGTACTATTTAAATTAATCGTCGCGACTTGTGATTATACATGGCCAAATGCCGGGCCGGTTCACGGCCCGGCCCGGCCCGCCAGGTCGTCGGGCCTCAAATGTTGGGCCCGTAAACATCCCAGTAATTTCTATGGGCCGGTTCATTTGAAACGGACTGGCTCGTCGGAAAACCCGGCTGTGTCTAGAGAGAGATATGCACATGGGATTCTACCAGATCATCCTCTTCATTTTGTGACCGTTAGATTAGATTCTTATTAGCTGATCCACCACACATTACTGCATGTATATATACATTAGAGTTGGGTATTTTGTAGGATAATAAGTTTTTGAAAACACTGTAGCCACATTGTATGCTCTTTCAAGCAAAGATGAACATCATGTTATTGATCCGATTTTCCTCAAACCTTAACATGTTAGATCCATGATTTCTTTCAAAAACTACTCAACATAGTCAAATTTCAATCGAAAATTCAAAAGCAATATAAATCAATATAATTCCAACCGGATTTGTTAAATTTTGACTTGTTAAATTTTGACGATTCCAACGAAATTTTTTTCAATAATTAAAATTATTTAAAAAGAAAAATATTATAGCCACCAAAACCGACAAAGCCGAGCTTCTCAACCCAGCGAAGCCTTCCTTGCCGGCGGCGCGGCTTCGGCTGATGGTCGCCTTTGACCGCCGGCCCCCTCAGCTGAACCCTGATGTTGCCGTAGTGCTCCGATGCTAGAAGGGATGTCGTTCCCTAGGTCCACGGCGATTTCGCGGTTAGATGGGGCGAGCCTCTCGGTCGGCGATCGGGCTGCAATTGGTGGCGTTGATTGTCAGCTGGTCTCAATTGGAGGTAAGTTTTCTCTCCTGCTGCGTTTGGTCGTGATTTTTGGGGCTCCCCTCGGGCGGTGCGTTTTCTGGTGGGGCTCCTTTTGGGGCTTCTCGGCTTGGTGCAGGTGGATTGCGGTGAGATTGACTGGGTATGGGTCAGCAAGGGGGGCGGGACTCTGGCGTTGGGCGGGATGTGGTCTCGCCGGCGTCAGGGTTGAGGGGCCACGACACCATCACCATCCTCCGTTCGACTAGTGGTGTTAGGCGGCGGGGGTCCGGTCCATTCGAGTGCAGCTAGTGGTGTTAGACGTGCTCAAGGGGATCGTGTGTGAGGGTTGGCTTGGCTGTGGTTTCCTTTCGGTTAACGCGGGTCGATTCGGGGATTTTTCTGGGATTTGGGTTCACCTACTGCTAGGCGTTGGTGCAGTTTCAGTAGCGGGACTTGGGCTCGGGATCTTTCTTGTGTCGATCGATGACTACTGGTTGGGGTGGTGTCGACTAGCTGAGGAAGGGCTAGTTTTAATTTGTCTCCTGTTTCGTTTTTGTTTTCGTGTTTGTTTTGTTGGTTAGTTGGTGTTGTTGTGGTTAGTTTTCTCGCGTTGCAAGCAGTATTCCGTCTAGGTTGCATTGGTGATATTGTAACCTCTTAGTTACCCAGGATTCGGGCTTTGCTCTTGTACATTGTCAGTTGGCGTTTTTAATGAGAATTTTATGTCGTTGGAAAAGAAAAAAAAATAAATTATTTAAAGAAAAAATAATTTTCAATTGAGAATTTACATATTCAATTAATTTTTTATCATAAATCGTTGAAAAAAATAAATTATGAATCATTGAATTCTAACTAAAAATAAAATAAAAATTTAAATCCAACTGAAGATATTAGTATCGATCTCTGTTAGAATATTTGCTTTGATTTTTTTAACAGAATTTATAATATAGAAGAATCCATAAAAATATCTACTGTAATATTTTCTCATTAATTTTACGTTGAAATCTAATAGTATATTTTTAGTGTAAAGTGTAAACGAGTTAAAAAGAAAAAAGGCATGCTTGGATACAAGATTTCTAAAAACAAATTCAATCATTATTTTTTTAACTCGAATCTAATTCAATTTTAATCTAACTTTACTATCCCAATTATAATCAATATAGTTAAATATTACCAATAAATCATTATTACACATTTCATTAACTTTAATTCACTATTCATCCACTCACATAATTTTAACTAATCATCATTCCATATCATCTTTCACCTACTTTTATCTATCTACTTTAACTTTTAATTTGAAAAATTATTTTAATATAAAATTAAAATTTCACTAACAACTAACCATACCATATTTTTTAAAATGAACCAACTAAAACAAAAAAATTTAAACAAAACTAAAATGAAAAATAATTATTAAAATTATACAATGTTGTGAATGGGACAAAGAGGGACACTAAGGACGAAACTACATAATACACAATTATTCAACCAAAAATTTTAGGGTGCGCAAAAAGGAACTTTAAATTATAGGTATTTGGATCTTGTGATCACATGCTGACATTTGTAATTAAGTGGTTGAATGGTGATCTAACACATATGTGTTCGCTATTGTGTTGTCTCAATTATTTTTTAAGGCAAAAACTACATAAACAAACATATAAATTTGTCCTTTCTTTTGACCTGGTTTGGTTAAATATCCAAAAACCCTCAAAACCAACGAGCCTAGTCTGTCCTACAACATTGGAGCATGTGAGTAGGCTTTTTTTCATTAAAGTTCATAATGGAAATAATGTTTGTTAATGTCCAATTGGAGACTAAACAAAAGAATAAATTATTGCATCGTGCATGTATAATTGATGGACTTCATCATAGAGTTAGAAAGAATATTCATATATTGGATTCAGTTTCTCTATGAATGCAATTATAAAACGCATTATGTTTAGTCGTGGAAGCACGCCTAAAATGCATACGAATGCTTAATATTAGATATGACCTCAAATAACAAGGGTCAAGGACAACCGGTGAGATAGTGGAGGATAAGCTCTAGCGTTAACAGAGAAACAAGATTACCAGCTAAGGCCCGCCCCTAAATGATCGATCAATGATAAAGGAAGGTAGGGTGTAGAGACCGATAATATGTATCAACAATGTTTGATATCTTTACACATGATAGGTGAATATATTTTAATGTACAAGACAACTATAATAACATATTATTATACATGGAAAACTCTTTATTCGGAATTATATTTGAATGCAATACCATTATCCTTCAAGGGTATAACTTCGTTTAGGTCCTAGCAAATGACAATCACATATGTGCTATAATGTAAACTTAAAAAAAAAAACATTTTTTAATATA